AGCATTATTTATTAGCAAGTTTGATTTTTCACAGTCTGGATGTTTGAGTCTTTCTATTAGGAATTTCCTTTCTTACAAAAGACAGCTCTCTTCTAATAAAATCATACCCTATGACTTTATAGGTAAAAATATAAAGGAATAAAATATATTCTGAATCCTTGTGATGAATATGCTTACTAACCTCAGCAGGCTTTCCTATACACACAGCACTAAGAAGAAGTTTTAGCATTGGCTTTTGGACATTAAACTTCTGAAGAGTGCATGAATGTGTTTGCTTTGTTTGGGTTTTTTTTTAATTAAAAACAACATAACCCTTTCCTTTTTCTGCCTGTTGGAGTTTGGTTCAAAACTTTATGTAGCTTCAGTAGAGTTTCGATACTAGGACAAACCTTTGGGCACATCAGCTAGTTTTATAAGCAAATTTAATTTGTATGCCATCATTATTACAAAATGGTATATAATGAATAATAAATGAACTACCTAATTTTTCCAATATGCATCAACCCAGAGATGTAACCTGAGATGAACACATAATTTCAGCTAATATCTTAGTTGACTTTTCCCAGAACCAGATGACAAGTCTTTGCCACAGAGAACTATTGTGGACGAGTCTGTGGGACAAACATCAAGCTGTCATGAAAGCATTTCTAAACTACTTTAAGATACTGCCCTGGAGAGTAGCCTCAGATATTATTTATAAAGGGGCAGATCTTCATTCAGCACAAGTAGTTCCATCAGAAAAAAAAAAAGCAAACCACCAAACCAAAAAAACCACACATGATGAACTACTCACATGGGTAAGGCAAAGGGATGTGATGCCCAATTATTATTTTTACTGCTGTATAACCTAGAAGTTCCTTGTCTCTGGTTTCTCTCTTATGGTAAAGTTTATGACACCAGGCTTAACCTAAAGAGACGGTGGACTTCCTGAAAGGTCCTGAAGAAACACAGCCTCCATCTGACTTGGCTGGATCGGGCCCTTTGAGTCACTGAACTAAAAATATGACAAATCAGGTACATAATCCTAGTATCGTAAAATATGAAACTGAAACTATTCCCTGGTGCTTGCCTGCAGACCACAAGTTTTTAAACCTTAAAAAGATTTATTTCCCACTTTTCATGCATAATCTGCCATATTCATTATTTGAAATATCCCATAAAAAGATTAAATAGGAATTAAAGTCTGGGAGCGTCATATCCATCACTGCGGTACAAACGGATGCTGAATTCTAGGAGTCATTTAGCCTTGTATGTAAAGGCAGTGGCTGTTTTCACTTTGTTTCACAAAGAATAAGGAAAACACAATACCCCAGAAGATTTTCAGATGTGTTATTTCCCTTCCAAAGGAAAGGGTGGATGATAAAGCTACACACACCTTTTAATCTTCAGCATAAGGTTTTTACACATATATTCCCTGGCAAAAACCCCAGGGTCTTCTCTCACCCCTCCCCTTCTCTCAGCCCCTTTCCTGCCATCTCCCTTGCTATAACTCAGCTAACCCAACAGAACCAGTCAGTTTTAAATTTCAGTTGGGACCCCGGTGACCTGTTAATGAATCTACAGAGAGGAGAAAAACTCACAGTGTTGAGTTATGCCTGGTGTTGCTAGCTGACTTGGAGTCAGAAATGCTTGAAGCGTTAACGTAATTGCAAGAATGTGAAAAATGAAGCGTTGGGCTCCTGAGCAAAGCGAAAGGTCAAAGCAAGCCCTACACAAAACAAGTCTCTGGAAGATGGCCTCATTAGACCATTAAATCAGCTTCTTCTTTCTCTCCTTTGTAAGATGTTTAGAGTGTTTTATTTTTATTATTGGATGTGTTTAACTCTTTCTCTTTCCAGGGCAGGGGAAAAGTTGATCAGACCTACTACATAATTACTAATCTCTAAAATAGTATTACATGGCATTGATCTGCATTTGTGGATCTAAACTGGGATAAAGTCAATAAATTCTTAGTAGATCACAGGTCACTAGTACTTTGGTTTGCTAGGTGATCAATACGTTGTATAGCTTAGTTTTCTGTTGAACAAGTGAGGTGACACGTTAAGAACAACATGGACACTCACCACTAATAAAATTAGGATAATCTTTCAACATTTACTGCCTGAAGTCCCTTTTCTTATCTTTTTCAATGCCAGCATGTTTCTAATAATACCAAACACTGACTAGATTAACCCTTTTGATGCCAGAGGGTAGTAATGCGCTGCTGTGGAGAGGCTGTCTTCCATGAACAAACAAAATTCCTACACCTTTTTCTTTTGGTTCTGACTTTAAGAATCATGGACAGATTCCTCTGTGCAATGAATAGATCTAGCTAATGCAAAGAAACTCAGCAGAAATTATATCATCACTCGCCCAATTCCTTTCCATCTTCACTCCTGCCCCTCCTAAAAAACGTCACAATCTGCACATCATAGACTTAAAGCAAAAGCAGAGACCCCTGGAAAGCGTGGTCCCAAGAGCCAAAAGATATTTACTCTACTTTGAATCAATTTCTGCTGCCATCAGGCATCAGTGGAGGAGACCCTAAGTTGCTAATGTAACACAAGACTGCCTAACGAGCTCCCATTCCCAAGAAATCCTTTGGGGCAAGTGGAATACTTGAAGCAGCATTTGTAGAAGGTCTTGACAAAACTGCAGGGAAACTAAGTTGACCCAAATAAGTGACTGCACCAGAATAGCTCAAGAGGACATCTACCCATCTTGGCACTATCTGGGACCTATTCACTGCCAGTTCATGAGTTATGAAGTAAACCCTACCCCCCTCAAGGAAGCATAAGGAAAAGTCAAGACAGGCCTCCCTCTATTTAGTCTTTCACAGTGTTGAGAGGGGAAGAGCAATCCAAAGCTGTCTCCAATGGGAATTTTGCCGGTGCTGTAGGGTCATAGATCTTTCAGCTGCCGGCAGCTGAGTGGAATGCTGATTTGCCACTGGACGACTGCTTCCCTTTAAAAGGTCCAACTGAGCACAAAGGGAAGCGTACTGGTGATGTTTCACCCTGCTAGGCTGGGCAGCACTAGCAGCGGTTGTTCCCCTTCCACAGAAATTACTGTAACAGGTTTGCTTAACATATATATCACATGAAACCTCAGTCTCCAATGGGAAGCTGCTGTAGTTATCATCAACTACTTTCCTTTATGCTTAGCAATATTTCTCAGGCACCCCCAGTTACATGACAAGGGATCAGAGACTAGTGAAATGCAAGATTCCTGGATGTAGATACAAGGGATTTCTTTACATCAAGCATAGCTCAATGGAGAAACTCCTTCAATTTCTAAGCAGTTGCTGGGGCAGAGTGGAGATACAGGTGGAGGAAACTTCTTACCTAGGGGTGAAATGAACATGCTATGGGAGGTGACTCAGAGGAATAATTTTTAAGTAGGTAAATGATGATCTTGTACACCAAGAATCTTAGCCACAATGTAAAATGTAAATGTAAACAATGTAAACATTGTAACAGAAGTAAAGTCTAATAGCTAATAGACATAACACTGATTTGCAGTTTAGCAGTCAAATTCTCCCTTTCATTAGCTGCTGAAGCTGTAATAGTTCACGCTGAGCCTTGTACAGCTCCAATCCAACCACATTGAAAAAAATCTTGTGTGACTCATGCTGGCGTTGGATCACACCCTGTGCCATGGCTGCTTTCTATCAGCAATAAGATTACAAATGTATAAACAATTCATACAAATGGGAGACAAACCCAAACCACTCTACCAGAAACAAACTTTGCAAGCGCCTAGAATCGCAATGCATACGACACCAGATCGTGAGACAGACGAGGGGATCTAACTCTGTGCCAAGCAGTGGGCCACGTGAGAGACGTGAAATTGCATATGTGCTCTGCCGCCTAAGCGTGGCAAATATCATGGTGGGAAGTGGCGCACAGCACACAGCTAGTCACAGCAGCTCTAGCCCTGAAGGCTGCTCCCCTCTCCAGTTTCGGGATCCCGCATGGCTAGTCAGATGGCAGACCTGTCAGTTGGCTCTGTTGGGTATGTGTAACTCTCATGTGGGGGAAACACAGTGGCAAAATGCTGCAGAGGCACAAGTTGGAACGAGTATATCGTAAGACCTTGTAAAGGTAATGTCTCACTAGCCGAGACTTACCATGTTTGCAGAGAAAAACAAGAACGGAGACCACCTTAGACTTTGGTCTTAAAAATACCAATTCTGAGTCAAGATCCAAGAGTGACAGCAGGCCATCTTTACACAACTTTTAGCACTGGAGGCTTGACTCTTATACCTTCTGGAGTCACTTATACTTCTAATGAGCAAGTGTAAAACACTATCATATCAGAATGACAGCCTTTGACACTCACTCAGCATGGATGCAGATGACCACACACAAGGTGCAGTGCAGTAGGAAATAAAACAAAAAACCCTGAAATAATAATCAAACCTCCTGAATGCTTGAGAAAGCTTCACTGTATGGACCCAGCAGAGGTTTTGCAGTTCAGGTACATCTCTATTTACCATTCTGAATTCAGATTTTCAGAAGCAGAAACAAGTCTGTACAAGCAAACTTTGCAAGAAACATTTTTTCTGTCCAATTTGGGTTTTGCTTCCACTTTATACAATTTAGCAGCTTCGTAACTTGATATAGGAGTCTCTTCCCCAGCTAAAACTACAGGTTAAATTCTCCATCTACAACCCAGCTCAAACAACTGCATCACAGCTGGAGAGTATGTCTGTCATTATATTTACTTACACCACACAAAAATAAACTGTAGATAACCAAATTTGTAAAGGAATTGGCAGAACTAATCAATTGTTGTTACAAAGCTTGTTTGAAGATTAGATATTTCACTTTGAAATAATAATAAAATGCAGCTAAGTGGGTTAGGAAAAGGAAATACCGTCTCCCTAAGTTACAACTGATTATACTGCAAGTCTGCCACTCCATGTTTACTCTAAGGCAGATGTACTGATACAATAAAAAAAAAGCTGGAGTTATTTTAGTCATGCCTACTTTGCAGAGGAAAAAAGTTTGACCTTTTACCTTGCTCGCTGCTGTTGTCTCCACTCTGGGAAGCGTGGCCCCCACTGGAGGGCCCCGGTGTGCCTGCCGAGTGCGTTGAGGTTGCATCATCGTGGTCTCTCCAAGATGAAGGATTCTGGTGTCAGAGTGCCAAGGAATTTTTTCCACAGTTCCCATTCCAATAGCAAATGAAGAACAGAAAGAAAATCGGGAGAAGAGGGGAGGAGGGGGGGGGAAATATACACATTAGCATTTCTGAAATGTGCCAAACACCGATACTCTTTGCACAGTGTAATAATTCTTCAGCAAAGACAAGCAGAGGAGGTACAAAGATTTACTTGGTAAAATAAAGGACAGATATTTTTCTTTTCTAAACTGTCCAAAGAGTCGTCTGGATTTAATTGTTTGAATAGTACTGAAGAATCTTTCAGGGGAGGAAACATTAAAAAATTAAGTTTCTTAGTGAGTTACACAAGCGGAAAAGCATCAACCTGCACAGTTTGACATTAAGATGTTCATGTTAGGATCAAGATAGTTGATATGCAGACTATCTCCCCGCACTTTGTTTTTCCAGACTGACCCGAGAAGGGAAGGGAGAGGAAGAGAAGGGAAACTGTTTCAAGAAGTAGAAGAGAATGTGCATGGGGAAGGAGCGTGTCTTCACAACCTGCCCTCTCTCTCACCCATTTGAATGCTGGAAAAACTTCAAGTAAATGCAAAGTTGTGAGGGGAAAGCAAGCTTTTTCTGAAAGACATTATGTACCAGGAAAGATGCTTCCTCACTCCCCTCCCCCCAATACCACCTTGATATGACACATTTCAAAAGCCTTTCTAGATGTAACACTCTAACAGTTCGCTTACAAGTATTGTCAAGAATAACCACCAGGTGATTATATAAAATAACATGTATAGCGATTGTTATGTAATTCTTTCTACATTACTATGCATAAAACACGACAAAAGGGAATGCAGAAGACAGACATATGAAGTTTGCAAAACTTGGCTAGGTAAGACCTCAACTACTGCACTTCAGTCACATAATTCATGTGAGCTTTCTAATTTATTGAGTATTGGCTTTCCCAGAGCGGGGAGCTGCTATTTAAAAGGGTAAGTGAGGAAAACTTCATGTTACAGTTCAGTGCTACTTTGTTGAGTGTGTTCTCCTCCTGTTCTCCTCCCCTTTCCTGATCATTCCCAATACCCTGCTGTTGCTTAAAGGAAAACAGGAATTCTACTGTACAGGAAGAGCTTTATCAGCACCACATGAAGGCAGGCAAGAGATGGAATTTCCTCTGGCAGAAAAGGAGAGCAAGAACACATGAAACAGATCAGACTAGGGGCTGGACCTGCATTACTTGTCACCTGTATGTGACAACTTAAATCAAGCACATTATAATAATTCAACAACAAAACAAAGAAAAACCCCTTCCCCTCAAAAAAAAATGCTTCTTCGTTTTGATTGTGTTTAAAATCTGCATTGTGAAATAAAACCGAACTATTAAAGCACAAGGAGATCCTGAAAGCAGCAAGCAACAAGTTTGGATAAATTCTTTGAGCAGGACTGATTCTGACCTGATCTACCCTGATGCGTAATAGGAATAAGTTCAACAAAATCAACTGATTTACTCATTGTAAAATTCGGTGTAAGTGTGATTGGAATCAAGTCCCAAAATATATATCAAAACATCTCAAAATAATCACCTACCACTGATTAGTACCACATGCTCTACAGCAACGCAAAATAGAACTGCCAAATAACAGCTTACTGCAATACCCAGCAACATAAATCTAACGGGTCTGACCCAGATCACAGCAGAGACAAAGGGAAGAGCCCATGACTTCAAAAGGTTCCCAGTAAAGCCCTCAGTGACCAAAGGGTAAGGAGGATCTAAATCCCCTTCTCGTTAGGCATACACGTGCACCCATGTTTGTGGTTCCATAGCAGGAAGACATGAGTAAAATCAGAAGACGGGCCAGGATTTGGAATTCGCCTAACTTGTCATGCAACAGACAGCACAACAGCACTTACAGCACAAAACCACCACTCCCTCCAAAGCCTAAAAGACTGATCTACTTTCCCTCACACAGAAACGCCACAGAAAAAAAATCCCCACCAAACAATAATATTTTATATTCATTGAGGTTGTTGTATTAATTAGGTCTCAGAAATCACTATTAATAGTCTACCCCCCCCAATATCATTAAAACAAACATACAAACAAAAAATTTTACCATTGTTTTACAGAGTCAGGTGGAAAGAAACACAAAAAGAAAGATGAGAAGTCTTGAAAGTTCAAGCAGCCCAGATATTATTAAAAAGAAAAAAAAAGTTGAAAATAAGGTTAGCAAAAAGTTCAGATGGAAATAAAATGCAAAACCTGACCAAGTTTCTTTACAGCCTGGATTAAAACACAGTTGTGCCTATGAGCTTCCCTTTTTATCTCTGAGTTAGGAAGCCACTCAAATAGCTTCAAGCTGAAGGCAAACAGCAGACAGGAGCTCTTCAGCCCTCTGCAGCCTCTTAGTGTCAGCTGTTTGCCGGATGGTAATCAGATAAAGAGCTAGAAGAAATACATTAAAAAGGAAAGAAACAATAGCATAGCATGAGTTTAGCCCTCCAACAACATCAGGCTGGAACCTTCTTTTAGAAAATGTAATAATTGCAACATGTTCACCTAGCCTAAACTTTTCAGGGAACACAGTGAGTTATGTTAATTTTATGCACTGCAGGCTCTCTTAAGCTGGCTGCTGTTGGAGCTCCTTATCACGCATAGGAAAATTACAATAATTAACTGGTAACACCTCAGCTCTGTTTCAAGGCAAATGTCATCCATAACCTATCATACAGTATTTCAAAAGCTACACCGGCCTTTCTGTTTCAAACCCGTAATGATTTGGAAAGGATCACTGAATAAGACTTCCTGCACTGCTGTCTCTACCAGGATGAGTTGTTCTTGACCTCAGTTTGTAGATTCTGTTTTGGAAAGACAGATTGTATTGATTGGGAATTCAATGTATTTTGACACAGTTTTCTTGAGGAAGGAATTTGACAGAATTTTGTTGAAGGACAGAAATAATAAGATGGGATATTTACAAGATGCAACTGTAGAATGTTGGAGTAATTTGAAAGGGAGGGACAAAGCTAGGCTTTAATATTATAAAAAATGACAACTCTTGAGGTGTTTACATCCTCATAAAAAGACAGCATTCTTTTGCTTGGGACTAAGATCATTGTACGTGTCAATGAACTTCTTTTTATCTCCCCTAAACTGTTTCCAACTTTGCATCCCTCAAGAAAAGTTTCTTGGACAAAAAAAAAAGAGACCAATTGAAGTACACATCTAAAGTGTATTTCACTAGAAACACTTTATCAGTATAGTTTAGGTACCTAAGAGATCCTCATCTAAAGCTTGCCAACATTAATTGCAATTTTTCTATCAATGTAAATGAAATTTGTATTAAGCTATCACACTGTAAAAAAATCAAACCAAACCAAAACCAAACAAGTGAAAAACAAACAAACAAACCAGAAAACTAGATAGCTTTAGATAAATTACACAAACTGTTAGCATGATTTCTCATATCTTCTTGCAAGTTTAGTTTCTTGCAGAAACACGTTGAAGAGAGCGGATGATGTCTGTCAAAATGCAGTTGCCTGTTTTGTGTATGTGTACATACTATAAAATTTTCACACATATATGACCTAAACTAATGCCAGATACCATAGAAGGTAAACAGCACACATATATCTATTCCCAGTAGTTTTAATAATTGGGAGTCAAATATGGTGCTCCTCTTGCTCTTACCTAATTGTGTTAAAGAGCAGTGTTACCAGGAGAAAAGCAGTGAATACTGAGTAGAGCACAATAGAAGGAGATGGAAAATAGATACAAGAAGCTAGGTCTCCAGGGGCAGTATTTTCTATTTGCTGGGCTACAGACTCGCAGCTGATAATGCAAGTTGTAATTAATATAAAAGCAGGAGACAATATGGGAAAAGCTTGTACTAGCAGGGCCACAGGAGATCACTCCGCTGCTATCCACTGTTTCTCATTTACACACACAGCCTTCCCTAGAAAACACAATTTTGCCAGTGTTTTTTCCCTTGAAAGTTAAAAAAAAATTGATTTAGCACTACCATTGGATTTTGCTAAATCTAGAAAAGAGCAACAGAAAGGACAAGAGACTATGCGTATACAAAGCAAATCTGAGGCCTTACTCTTTTGTCGATGCTGCAAATCTGGTGGAAACTGCAAGAGTTTTTAACTACTACAGGATTTCTTTAACAGAGATGTTGTAACAGATAAATTTTATATAGGATAACCTTCTGTTGAATTGCAATTCTTGCTTTATATGCCCAGAATTTCCACTAGGTAAAGCCTGGCTAATTTTTTGTGAGTATATGTAGCCCTGCTAGAGCTGATTCTGATCTCACACTGCTTTTTATGGTGATATTAAAGACTCAATTAGCCATAAGGAATTTGCTTCTTATTTATAACTAGGAAGTAAAATCAATCAGGCCAGCTGATGCACCCATGCAAGCAAGCTGAGTAGGATTTGGCTCACAGACTTTAACCATATACAACAATGACAGGATCAGGCCCTTACGTTTTACCAGATTAAATGGACAAAACCATTGATCTTACAGGACCAAACAAAACACAACTCACTTTCAAAGAAGAAACTACATCAGCTACAGAGCTCATTCTTCGTGAAGATGGCTGGACAGAAAGGTCTGGAGCTTGCTCTGGTAAATTAATTTTGCAAACACAAAACTGAACTGAACTACTGATACAGATGGCATTTTGCCCCCCAGATACAGGCCAAATCCTGCTCACCTTGATCTTACAAGTGACACTTGAAAACACAGTGGAACGACTGACATGACTGATACCACAAAAATCTATATCTAGCTACCACTGTATATAAAAAGATTATATACTGTGCCAGACATAGAAACCTATGCACATACATGCACATTTGTTTCTGTGTGTGCATCTGTGTTCATACGTGTCTGTCTAGGTTTTGTATGTATAAAGTTCAGGTTGGTATCTTGGAGGCTGTTGTGGAGTGCAGTGATATAAACTTACTATGTAAAGAAATAATTTCAATAGTTAAATGAGCCATGGAATACTCT